CTACTCGTCGTTCGTGTTCTTCTCTCTCTCTCTCTCTCTCTCTCTCTCTCTCTCTCTCTCTCCTTCCACTCCCTCTTCCCTCTCCTTCTTTCAATTTATTTTGCCGGGGAGGAGGGGGGGTAAGCAGAACGGTTTATGGAAAGTACATATGGCCGTTGAAAAAAAGAATTAGAGAGAAAGAGCGAGAGGGGGAAGGGGGAAACCGCCGATTTTGGCGACGATCCAAATGATTCCGCGAGAAAATGTCTGTGCTCGTGAAATTGGGGGAATATTTCGTGGAATTCCGGCGTTAAATTTTCTCACCTCTAACAGGAGTGGCTCGAGTTACTCGCGAACGACTCGGTGTTTTATTTTTTTTAAAAATGAACACTGGAGGGGAGTGCGAATTCCGATCCGATTTCGCGCGTTAATGTCCCATCATCCCGTCGCTCTCATAGAAACGCGAGATCAGAGATACTGGCTGGCAAACTTCCATTTTATTTATACCGCTTTAACGCGGGGAGGGCAATCAAGCCACGGTAAATAATGTCTTCCTGTCGAATTACCCGATCGCAAATCGCGCCGCTCTGATGCGCTCTGCGTATCAACGGGGATTCATCGCGATTTCCAGAAAATGAGACGCGTGGAAATCACGTTATTTTTGAATGTGCGAACGATTGTCGTTATCGTTATTACGAAGAGGGATGAAAATAACTTTCGACTCGTTAAAAGCGGCCGAAAATTCGTGCGCTCCGAGGGGCGATCGAATTTTCAAATTCGATCTCGAATTTATCACGTTTACGATTTCGATAGGGCGCTCGAATTGTTGCACGAGCACGGTTGATTTTATATTCGACGGGACGCAAGAAAGAATCCCAATTAACGATCCCACGATTTCTCAACAATGACCACGATTCGATCGATTCTCTCTACTGCGGTCGTGTACTCGATTCACTCGTACCACTCGTACTCGTCGACAAAAGATGTTAGAAATTAATGTTACGCTACTACGAATCATTGTTAAGAATCGCAAGAAGAGGAAGTAACAATCCCAAGGCGTGTAAGGACGAAAACGGAAAAGACAAAAGTATCTTAACTCTTAACTCGATCCGGCTCGATATCTTTCTCCAATAACATTCTCTCCCGGGACCAACCGGGGACATCTCTCGTCTCGTGACGTAATATCGAACGTCTTGGAATTGGATCGATGCTCGATCGTGTGACATTCGCGGTGGAGCCATACACATCGATACACGGGGAATTATCGTGGAAAGTTTTCGATAATCGGGGCACAGCGGGGCGAGGGTGGGTTGAATGACAACGAGAGCGCGGAGAATAATACGCGGCCGGCAAAACGGGGCGTGGCATCGGGATACGGCAATACGGCATCCTGATTTACGCCGTGAGCAAACAGCCGCGCAGCCAGCTCTCTGTGCACCTCGGTTATTGTCGGCTCTATAATTTGGGGTTAATTCACTAGGCGGCACTCGAGTTCAGGCGTCAAACCGCAGATCGATAGTCCCGGCCGCGTACAGGTCTTGTCATGTAAATGTTGCGTGCATAATACCCCGCCTTGCGGCGAGCCAGGATCATTTCCACGGAACGTGTGCGCCTCCCCTCGTGTGTGCGTGACCCACAGACTGGTGCAAACCAGGTGCAACCAGCGCCAATATTCACCAGCTACCTGCTCGTTAGCTGACCCGGCGCCAATTTGTTGATACCATCCCTTGCCTCTCCAACTTCGAGATTCGGATCCGTGCGGAGGGAGTGAGGGGGTTGAGGAAAGGGGGGATGTTATCGTCATCGCGTTACGTCGACCATGTGTGTACCTATGCTCTCGAAGTTTCTCCGAGTTGAAGGTTGGGAATCGAGATGTACGCGTGTCTCAGGGGTGTGCGGAATAGAATTTGTCCAAGTTGTCGAAGGTGGTAGAATCGAAAGGGCGTATGTTTCGAGCGTATGTAAGGGGGATGATATTAGAGATTGCTGTCTAATTCGCGTAGCGAGCTTTCAATTTTCGCCCCGCCCCCCCTCCCCTCCCCGTGATCAAAATCCCCGTGAATAATTTGCATGCATTTAGCTGCTTTACACCGTGCGATACACCCCTCCCCCCTCCGCGCCCCCCCCCCCAACGTTGAATTATTTCGAAATCTCTCGATTCTATATGCATCCTGGGTAAATTCCGCCACGATCGATTCGCCAGGTGAAATTGAAACACGCTCTCCGCTGGTCCGGCGTAAATGTTGCTAGATATGTTATTTAGTTTTCCACCGCGAGCGATCCCGAGCGGGGGGGAACGGGGAGGAGAGGAGAGGATCGTGTAACCCCTCGTCGAATTACGATCCCTCGCTTCACGGGAAGGGGAGGAGGGAGGGGGAGGGAGGAAAAAATAACGCGATTTTGCATCGAAATGATCAAATGAACGACGAACCCGGAACGAAATAACCCAAGTGAATTATACGCCGACATATTTTTCCTTCTCTCTTTTTTTCTTTTTTCTCTTTTTATGAATTTTTTTTATGGTTTTTTTCTTCTTTATTTTCCTCTCTCTCTCTCTCTCTTCTTTTTTAATTGCAACTCGATGAGCGTAGGATTCGAAGGTAACGGATTATCTCTGACAAAAAAAAAAAAGAAAAAAAGTCACGCGCAAGAAAATTATATTCCACGTTTCCACGCTCACCTTTCGACCCGCTTTAACGCCCATTACCGGCACGGCGTCGTCGTTTGCATAATTATAAAAACTGCTCGTCGACGGCGTCGTCCCGCCGTCACGACGACGACGATCGAGAAGCGTTTAAAACTTTAATGGTTCGCTCTTCAGACGCGGCGCCGCAGCTTCTGTACAAATTCATCGAACAGACCATCCAGCCTGGCCCTTCGGTGTCGCTCAAGTGCATCGCCACCGGGAACCCGACGCCGCACTTCTCCTGGACCCTGGACGGTTTCCCTCTTCCGCAGAACGACAGGTAAACGATAACATCGTCTTCTTACGCTTTGAAATTACAGAATCGAAGAAAGATTCTGTTTCCTTCGAACGAACAGATTATCTTTCCCTTCCTCTTCTTCTTTCCTTCAAAGAAATCGACGGATAGTGTGTGTGTGTGTGTGTGTGTGTGTACACACAATTATTTTCGGTTATTAAACCGCGGCTATTACGGTCGACGGACGGGAAATCAGACCGGCTTCCAACGTTATAACGCCAGATCCCGTGGGAACCGATACCTCCCTGCGGGCTTCGATTCTCTGAACCAATTGAGAGGAAAATTACCAATCAACCGGGCTCAGTCTAAACTTTTTACAGTCGCTCGATTTAGAATGATAGATTTGACGGGATCGCGTCCACGCTATTAATAACGGTACGTGCACATTACGCCTCTGCTTTCTTTCCCTTTCGCCTCCAATCGTCCCCCCCGCTTGATTTACGACACCTCGGACGGCGATCGAGCCATTAATGATTTCGTTCGGGATCGCTTTGCCACGCTTTTTCATTTCCCGCGAATTTTGCTACAAAATTATTCAAACGTCTCTCTTTAAAAGAAAAAGAAGAAGAAGAAGAAGAAACTAATCGAGCTATTCATCTATTTGCAAATACAATTCGTCCTCGTAATTACGAAGGAGAATTAGACGAAAATTGGTGGACGCTCGTGGTTTAATTCCTTCTCTCTCTCTTCTCTCTCTCTCTCTCTCTCCCTCCCTCCCCCTTCGCAAAACGAGAAAACACGACGCAAGCGTAACATTTACACAAGCCTTCCCTCCCCCCCTCCCCCCCTCCTCCCGCAAATGTGTGTCGCAGGTTTATGATTGGGCAGTATGTGACGGTGCACGGGGACGTGATATCGCACGTGAACATCAGCGTGGTGCACGTGGAGGACGGAGGGGAGTATCGGTGCACGGCGGCGAACCGGATGGCGAAGGTCCACCATTCGGCTCGTCTCAACATTTACGGCCTGCCCCACGTACGCCCGATGGGGAACTACGCGGCAGTGGCCGGCGAGACCACCGTCATCAAATGTCCGGTCGCTGGTTTCCCGATAGCGAGCATCACTTGGGAGAAAGGTCAGTGTCCTCGTTTCGCTTTTAACTCATTCGATTCGGTTGTAACGTTTCAAGATTTTAAAGTCGTTCGTTCACTCGAGCGTGGTGCCTTTTTGGTTGGAAACGTTTTTTAATATTCGATCGAAAGTGATATTTTTCTCGATTCTTTTCCCGATTAATGTGAATTGAAAAAATTAACTCGTATTCAATTTGAATAAAAAAAGTTTTACGAGCAAAAAATCTTGTATCTTTTTTACGACTTACCGATCAGTTTATTATCGTATCGGTTTATTTGTCGCTCGGTTCAAAAGGGTGACACTTTTTGATTATATAAATTTTATATAATACGAAAAAAAAAAAAAAAAGTGGGAAAACTGTAACGAACGAATGTATGTAGATTAATTATCCTATTTTTTAACGTTTACGTCTTCGTTGAACGCGACAAAATTTGGGGGAAAATTAATAAGCAACGTTCGCAACGCGAAGAACACGCGCATTCATCTGTCACGAATATATTAACGAATCTGTTGAATACAATTTACAAATGTAATTTTATCTGACGTTGGAAATTGTCGATTTATTATTAAACAAAAAGGAGAAAAAAAACGAGGAGGCACAATTCCGAACAACTCTTCATTATATACATTCCATCGTATATCCTTCTTAAAATTTAATTTAAATTTCAGATAATTGATTTCGCAAAATCGAAAAAAATATAATTTCCACTCGCTCGCTCCAAAGTTGGAGATCGGAAAATACTTATCTCTAAACTTTTCCATCCTTGGCTACTTTTTTTCGCCAACTCGCGCTATTTCGACTTGGCCGTGTTTCCGTGGCGGCGCGGAAAATAAAGATTAAAGCGGGAATTGAAATGTTCGCGACGCATAAAGAGGACGTAAATAAGTTACCGTCCAGCGTTCCCCCGTAAAAATCTGGCCGGCAAGGAGACGAATGAAATTTCAGAGAAACTGAAAGTACCGTCGGTTTTTCGAGCGGTTTAAATGAACTTTTTGCCGGGCCACCCCCCAGGGGCGGGAAAGAGGCGAAAAGAAAGAAGGAGAAAACGAAGATGGGAGAGCGGTCGTTTTATACCGTGGAAAACTCTAAACGTTCGAACGGCCAAGTTCGAGCGTTTCTTTTCCGGTAATGATGAACCGAACTACGAACGAAAGTTTCAAACGTTCCCTCCCGGATAACTTTCTCCCTTTTACGCCCGATCTAGCGTGACGTCGCGCGCGCAATACATCCCCCCAATAACACTTTCAAAGTCGTTCCACCACCGCTCTAACGGGGTGGAAGGGGAAAAGAAAAGAAAAGAAATGGAAACGTATCGATTTCTTCGCACGAGGAGATTTCTTCCTCGCGGGTTTAACCTTAAATTCGTCGATCGATAGTTCCTTTTGACGTAGGCAGCAACGCTCGAAATTATTCAATATTTATTTTCCCACTTACGAAATTGCAGCGAGATGCGGAAATAGATATCCGAAAATCAGTTTTTCTCGATCGAGCTCTCCAACAAGGAATGATAATAACGTCGATAGCGTGTCCCGTTTCTCCATCCCTTTCCCCGCGCCGTTTCCAGCCCCGGAATCGGTTAGTAGCTCGGTCGAAAATTGGAGCGTTGAGAGAAGGTTTTCTCGATACCTACAGACGGGAAGGTGTTACCGACGAGTCGACGTCAGGAAGTGTTCCCGAACGGTACGCTGGTGCTGCATCACGTCGACAGAAGCACCGATCACGGTGCATACACGTGCACGGCGAAGAACAAACAAGGTCGCTCCGACTCTCAGACGGTCCACATCGAAGTGAAAGGTAAAGTTTCTTTCCTTTTTCTTCTTCTTTTTCTTTTCTCAAAGAAAAAAGGAAAAAGTTTTCGTTACTACGACGGGACGATTCCATCCGCTCGAATTTGGAATAACAACGTTGCACGCGTGCCGTGTCTCGCTTAGCTGATCCGCTCTGTGCGTCAGGATTTCATCTTGACGCGGAGGAGATTTGCGATACGTGACGACGAGCGTACTTGTAATCGCGAACCAACTCGTGTGAAACGCGACGAATAAATCATTCGTGGAGGTGTGTCGAGAGAGGCACGTTTCGTTTCTGGAAGAAACGTGGTTATAATTGTCCCGATGGCCACGTTTCTTCTTGTTCGAAATAACGATTCGAACGAAATTTTTACACGTATTTGTATAAGAGTATAGTCTTCCAGTTATGCGTATGCGAAAAATTGTAGGTTAAAAAAGAAGAAAAAAAAAAGGAACTCGATTTCTGGTATAATTTCTGGTATTTGTTAATTCTAGGATAATGAAGTATTTTTGAAAAATACAATGTATATTTGCTCGTTGTATCGAGTCTGGTTTTACGATCGATTTTTATCTTTGCACGAAATTTCAAAAGTTTCATCGGGATATACATATACGTAAATTAAAATTGCCGTCTGTAGCATCGAAAGGAAATTCTATCCGGCTCGTTTTTCCTATCACGAGTGAGATAACCTCGTCGTATCATTTTACAAATGTAGAATATATTTTTCGTTTGATGTTATATCATAACGTATGAATAATTCGTTTGGAATTATCAGGGCGTTGTGCACGTTGTTGTTGGTTTCCAATTAAAGCAAAAATAACGATGTTAATGGTAAAATTGTTTGATAAATTTGTTCATTTATCCAGCTGTAGCAACGAACGTATATCGATAATATTGTCATATTTTTTTTTCTTCTTCTTCTTCTTCCTTTTTGAATTAACAACGGTTTCAGATCGACGATTTTCCCGCAGCGATCACGTTGACCCGTTTTCACAGGTTCGGGACACGCGTGGAAACGTGTCGTGAATATTTTCAGAGATAAAGTAAAGAGACTGTGGAACCGCCTCTAGATACATTTCGTATAATCAATCTCAATTGCAACCATATCGTTCGAGAGCCGAGGGGATAATATATATATATATATGTTGACGAAAAGAAAGGATCGTTTCACCCAGAGGACAGAACGAATTGGAAACGCGTCGAAAAGAAAGGAGTTACACGAAAATCGAAAAAAAACTACGCGTCGAGGAGGCGTCGAACGAATAATGATCTATTCGTTCTTCTCTTTCGTCTCTTTTTCAATCGTGTTCTTCGCGTTTACGAGTTTTCGATCTTTTTTTAAGAGGAGAAAAGGAAAAATAACAAAAAAAAAAAAAAAAAAGAAGAAAAGAATTCTTCCTCCTCTAATAACATCTTTTCCCTTCGAATCAGAACCTATAGAAACACGACGAAATTTAAAATAAAAAGGTATATGTATATATGTACGTATAAAGAAGAGCAGATTGAGAAAATGATTCGTTGCGGGCTGTGTTGAAGTTAAAAATGTGTCGTGATCTCCTGTAATTTTCAGTACCGCCTAAAATCGATCCGTTTAGCTTTCCTGCCAATATACAAGAAGGCGCGCGAGTGCACGTGGTCTGCGTGGTGAGCGAGGGCGATTCACCGTTGAAGATCACCTGGCTGAAGGATGGCAGGCCATTGAATTCCACGGAGACGACCACCCATCATATCGGCGAATACGATCTCACGTTGATGATACAGAGCGCGACCACGGCCCATAATGGCAACTATACGTGCGTCGCGAGCAACGATGCCGCCGAAACTTCTCGCACGGCATCCCTGTTGGTCCACGGTACGCTGGAACGTACGCCACGGAAATCGATTCTCCTTCCACCATCCGACCGAAATTTTCTTCTTCTTCTTCTTCTTTTTTTTCTTCTTTTTTGCCCTCCCCCCCCCCTCCCCCCTTATTTCAACAATTTTTCACGCGCCTCTTTCAAACGCCTCTCTCGATCGAGAGTGTTACGATGATTACGGTGATTCGATCGAGATTCGAGGCTGCGCGTGAACCATAATTAAAGTCTGTTTCGATTCGCATTTATGATAGGAAAAAAATTACGATAGGAAATATATATATTTAACAAGTTAGGTCACCGTGATCATGGGAAGAGGCATTGGACGAGTACAATATCATCGGTGATTGAAAAGTTCGCGCGGGTGACACGGCCGAGCGTTTTCCGCTCGTCGCTCGACAACTTTTCACCAGCCGCGCGCAACCATTCGCCAAAACCCTCCTCTCTCTCTTTCTCTTTCACACATCTCTATCTCTACACGGTCACCAATTTCAGCCACGATCGTCTCTTATTCCCAACCCCCTCAATTCCGACAACTCGGTTAGGAAATTTTCGTTCGGTTCACGGCCTGTCTTCCATTTAAAACAGGCAGGCAACGAACGGGCCGACGCTATGATTTCACGCTCTATTTTCCTTCGTTTCCTCTTCGAGCCCGCGCAGACCGCGGTTTTTCGCGATCTCTCCGCTCTATTTATCCATTTCTCTCTCTCTCTCTCTCTCTCTCTGCCTTTCCCTTCCCTTCCTTTCCCTTTTCTTCCCTTCGCCCCCGAACATCCAGGATAAATTCCACGATTGCCGTTGACGAGGGATGGCGGAATGGCCGTGAAACAGCCACGGGAAAAAACGAAGGGAAAAAGGCGCGTCGTCGATATTAATCGTCACGCGGCACTCGACGAGCGGCAGAGCCTCTCGACCGGTTGGAAACTCCCGATGTAAAGCACGCAAGATCAATCGTTGCCACTCTTCATCCTCCGGGCGAGGATTCAGCCTTCCTTTTTTTTTTTTTNTTCGTCCCTTCCTTTCTTCTCTTCCTCTCTCTCTCTCTCTCTCTCT